TGTTATTTTTATGCTTCTAATCTTTCTTATTTTGGGATTTTGGGGAAACCATAGTATAAAAATGCTAACTTGAAAAATTATTCCTAGAGGGTGATGGGATTGTATCCTTAGAAATTAACTCCTTGTGAGCAGAACCAGTAGAACATTGTACATGGTTACAGCCATGCTGTGCAATGACTATCATTGATACACTCAGATCTTCTCAGCAATTTAATGACCTAAGACAATTCCAAGGGACTCATGATGGAAAATGCTATCCACATCCAAAGAAAGAATTATCGAGTTTGAATGCAGATTGAAGCATTAGTATTTGCTATTTTTTTTCTTCTGTTTTGATTTCTCTTTATTGTGGTTCCTCCTATTGGTTCAAATTCTTCCTTATAACGTCACCAATGTGAAAACATGTTTAATAGGAATGTATATGTATAACCTGTGTCAGATTGCATGCTGTCTTGGGGAGGGAGACTGGGAAGGAAGGGATGGAGAAATGTTTTAAATTCAAAAGCTTATGGAAGTGATTGCTGATAGATCAAAAATTTTTAAAAAAAGAGATAGAAGTGAAATTAAACAAAAAAAGAAAATTAAACACTCAAATGATAAATTTGGGGAAGACGTAGGAAAATTGGGACACTAACACATTGTTGGTGGAGTTGTGAACCAATCCAACCTTTCTGGAGAGCAATTTGGAGCTATGCCCAAAAGGCAATTAAACTGTGCATTCCCTTTGGTCTAACAATACCACTCCTAGGTCTGTATCCCAAAGAGGTCATAAAAAAGAGAAAAGGATTCATGTGTGCAAAAATATTTCTAGCAGCTCTTTTTGTGGTGACCAAGAATTGGAAATTGGGGGAATGGCTGAACAAGCTGTGGTATAAGATTGTGATGGAATACTATTGTTCCATAAAAGAATGATGAGCAGGCAGACTTCAGCAAAACCTGGAAAGACTTGTATTGACTGATGCTGAGTGTAGTGAGCAGAACCAGGAGAATGGTGTACACAGTAACAGTAACATTGTGAAATGGCCAACTATGATAGACTTAGCTCTACTGAGCAATGCAACGATCTGACACATTTCCAAAAGACTCTTGAAAAAAATGCTATCCACATCCAGAAAGAGAACTGAATGCAGGTTGAAGCATGCAATTTTCTCTTTTTTTGCATTGTTTTTACATTCTCATTGTTTTTCCCTTTTCTTCTGATTCTCCTTTCACAACATGACTAATGTAGAAATATGTCTAATATGATTGTATTTATATAGACTACATCACATTCCTTGCTGCCTTGGGGAGGAGGGAGAAGAAAAAAAATTTGGTACTCAAAATCTTATACAAGTGAATGTTGGAAACTATCTTACCATGTTATTGGAAAAAATAAGATATTATTAAGTTTAAAACAAGAAGCAGTCTAATTCCAAGACTGGCTGTCTAGGAACCACAAACAGATATGTGAGTTCTGTAGTTGATTTGCACTGCATGTAACAAATATGTAAAGAAGAATTTGTACCCCAAATTTTAAAACTATGCACCATTAAAAAAAACCCTGAAATGTGAGAAAGTTGAAAAGAGAAAGAAAAAAATAACTCGTCTTTTGATCTAGATGCTGTGAAATTATGAATTAAACTGTGAGAGAGGGTGGTTACAATGTGTAAACACTGGTGAGTATTTAATTGGGCATCCTTTACTGTAACATAAATAAGAATAAAAACTTAACTCTTTGACAAAAGTATAAAGGACTTTGTAAATTCTCCTTGTCTGTAAAGTTTTGGGGGAACTTACCAAGTAAGGGCCTTGTCTTTGGGCAAGGTCATCCACTATTATCAGTACTGAAGAAGAAGCTCCTGCAAAAAGGGTGTCCCAATTCTGAAGGGACAGTGTGGCTTACTGAGTAACTGAGATCTCTAACAGCTGAAGTGGGCGTGGGGGTGGGAGGAGAGGCCCAGCAGCGAGGAATGTAGCCTGGCTGAGCGCCACCTGGGACCTGTACCCACAGAGCTGGCTTCCAGGAGGCTGAGATCTCAGCTGCAGGGGAAGGAGGCTTTACACGTTTGGGTAAAAGTTGTGGTTGTGGTTATTGTTACTATAGAGGCAATGTACCTCATGGACTGTCTGACCAGAGATTAGAAAAATGATAGAATCTCACTGGAATAATATGTATCAAAGTGACACCTTCAAGCCCCCTTAGTCTCAACAAACCCCAGCCCTGATTCCCAAAGGGCCTCCCACCTTCCTTGAGTACAGCTGATGTCAGATCTTGGGGTGCAGAAAAGAAGAGAATGCCTCCAATCCTCTGCAACTGGGGACTGGACTCCATCAGTTAATTCAATAAGCATTTATCAACCAATCAATAAACATTTATTAAGCACCTACTATGTGTCAGCCAGTAGGCTAAGGGCTAAGGACACAAAGATTAAGTAGGAGCTCACATTCCAATGGTTTAAGTCAACAAGTCAACAAGCATTTATTAAGCACCTACTGTAGCAGGAAATACAGGGCTCTGGAGCTCCCAGGAATGGAAAAAACCAAAAGAAAACAGGAGACAACTTGAAAACCATTAAATACGCGCACACAAACACACACACACACACACACACACACACACACACACACATGCCAAACACATATTTCAATATCTATTTCTGAGATAACAGCTTTTAGAAAGAAGCTTGTTGCATCCTCTGGCTGAGGTGAGAGCTGAAATAGGGGCTGCTCCCAGAGCTTTTAGTAAGCTTTACATTCCACAGAGTTCAGACTAAGGAACAAGGAAACCAGCAGAGGGGCCAGCTGGGAGGCAGTTTCCAAATACAGCACCTACAGGGCCCTGAAAGGGTAGATCTCAGAAAATTCCTGGCCTCCCCCTCTGGACCCCTCCCTCCCCTGCAGGTGTCTGGGGTCAGGGGGACCTGCATGTCCTGATTGAGCCACAGATCTGGTCGTAGTGTTGTGGTGTAAGAGGTTGAGAGGTTGTGACCCCTGAAAGACCGGAATACAGGACGGGTCGTTTGGAATGAGTTCAGAGACTCAAGCATTCTTTAAGCTAAGGTGACAAAGTTTATTGTTACACTTTACATCAGGCAAGCATTCTTGAAGGATCCTATGGGAGACAGAGAATGCAGCTAGGGTTTATATGGAAAAGAGCATGGGAAAGAAATGCCAGGAACATTGATGAGGTAATCTAAAGGTGCAGGTGTCTTTGGGGGCTATGGATGGGAAAGTACAGGGAGTATACCGGACAGGGAGGGAGATGAAACAGGTATGAATCTTTGGAGTCTGGCAGGAGGAAGAGTCTTTGGCTGGCCAAGTACAAAACTCCTTGGGGTGGGCAAGACACCCCTCTCCCTCTGTCTTGATAAGAGAATGCTCTGCAATGAGGGAAAGCTTTCTCACAACACAGGAACTTACTAAGGAATTGGGAGGCTTCCAGAGACATGATCTGAGTGCTGGGGCCTGAGCAGCCCAGCTCTGTGTAGCTGTACAAGGGAGAGAGATAAGGGTCATGCCGAGGCCCACGCATGAATAACTGCTAGGCACAGTGTCCTTGGGCTGGGGGGCGGTTGTCAGAGACAGTGTTTCTGGGACTAGGGAGAAATTGGGGCACAAGTACAAGCACGAGCACCCGAGCACCCCATCAAAAGCAGCAAACAGATCCAGGCTCTAAGCCACACAAGGGGAGGTTCAAACTACACAATCCTGTTTTCCCAGGGGTTCTAAATATGCTTCAAGGAGAAAATGTCCACAAAGGCTTCTGCCACCCTGAAAGCCTCCTCCTAGAGGCAGGCCGGCTTCCAGGCTCTCCCTAGACCCAGAGGCTGTGTTTTCCACCAAGGCCCCAGAAATGAGGCCAGGCCAAAGCGGGGACTTTGAAGTGTCAGAAAGAGCTTGGAGCCAAAGCCTCCCCAGCCGGATCTTTCCAAGGCTCCTCTCCCCTGAGACTTGGCTGGCTGGTTCAACCCTCTCCCACATCCATTAAACCTGAGGGGAATTCCATCAGCTCTAAGTTATCTGAGCAGATCCATGTCTGTGCCTCAGCTGAGGCCTTCTCTTCCCTCCTTTCCAGGTTTTATTGGTGCATTTTGTCTACACCAGAGGGGAGACCAACCCTCTCTCTCCCTCCAGGCTGGATCCTCTCTTGTGACAAAGGAAACAACTGAGGCAAGGAGTCCAGCCCCCAGCACACTGGCTTGTGTGGATGACCTTCTACCCGGGAAGGCCCCTTTCCTCCAGATCACCACGTCCTGTCGGCCTCAGTTTCCTCCTCTGTAAAGTGGGCGTTTCCTGGGCTGGTTTTGAGGAGCAAATGACCCACCACATGGAAAGCCTTTATAGCCCTTCAATGCAGCCCCTCAAAGGGACCTCTCAGCATTGCTTGTTTTGGACATTCAAGCCCTTTTTACGCCCCCTCGGGGACCCTGGACGTAAGCCCCCCTAAGGTTTAAGCGGTGGGTCCCTGGGGTGTCAGGGACCAAAGATCATGGTGAACATAAAGCCCTAACCCGCTCTTTGGGGAGGCTTCAGGGCCAGAACTGAGCCAGGGCCAGTCAGAGCTCTGGGCCCGCCCCGCCCCGGGGCCCCTCCCTGTCCCCTCCCCTCTCCTCTCCCACTCTACCGTCCCCCTCCATGCACCACTCGCCCTCGTCCCGCCCCATTTCCTTCGCCCCGCCCCCACGTTCATTCCTGAAGCCCCCGCCACGCCTGGGTCGCAGCCAATTAGAATTATGGGCGGAGCCCACACGTGCCTCGCCCCGCCCATCGACCCGGAACACCGGCCACAGCCTCAGTCAGGACTACATTTCACAGAAGGGTGGTTGTCGTAACCGGAAACGGCCTTCCCTGGGAACTCCCGGAAAGGTCCCGCCCCTCGGCCTTGTCCCAGGCCTTGGAGAAGCTCGCCGGAAGCTCTTCCGGGCTGAGCCTGCTTTGCGCCGGCGCAGTTTCACCCGGGGCCCGGATCGCCGTGGAGATGGGAATTGTTAGGTGAGCTGTGGGGGCGGGGCGAGAGGTTGGGCGGTTCTCTTTTGTGGGTGTGAGCTGCTGCGTGCGAGGGAAAGTGGGAGAGAGGAGGAGCCGGGGTGTAGGCTGGCTGGACGGGGCTTCCTCTTCCTGCCGCGCGTGGAGCAGAGCTCAGCACGCGCTCTGTGCTTGCAGGTCCCAGGTAGGTCCACCCCAGCAGTCCTGCCTTGTGCCGGGTACCCAGCCTTCGGGGCTCCCTCTGCCCCCCTCCTCTTCTTCCTCCGCCCTGGTACTGACCGGCCCACGCTGCCCGCCCCCCCCAACACCTCCACGCTGCCGGGCTCTTCCCCATCTGCAGGTTCACCGCTGGGGCTCACTTTGCCCTGGAGACCCAGGAGTCCTGCCTGCAGCCCCCCGCAGGCTCCAGATGTTCTTGGTCGCTAACCCCGCCCTCCTTTAGGGGTTGAGTTCTTCTGCCTTCCGACCCCCCCCCCCATAATAATCCAGAGTTCGGCCTGCCCTGAGGATCCCCAGCTCCTGCCTGGCGCCTTCTCTGGACCCCCAGCTTCTGGGCTGCTTCGCTGTCAGATCCCAGGAACTGGCTCCGTGTGCCCGATCTCCCCTGGGGGATTCCAAGCCTAAGCTGTACCAGAGGGTCCCAAGAGTCTCCCCTAACGTGTTATGCAGAAGCTGGGTCAGTGAGTTGTTTTACCACATAGGCCTGGAGACCCAGCAACGGGGACCTTGTTCAATTCACTTTCATCCCATTCCTGTCCCATTCCTCCCTGGCCCCTTTGAAATACAGCTTTCCTCCCTGAGTAGTGTGAACTGTCCTTGAGGGGGAGAGCCACCCTCCTATCAAATTGAATAAACCTCGCTCTGATTTACAAGCCTATGGTGCAGTTACCTGGTTATTCTGCTCACCTCCCACAGTCCTGAGTCACAGTTCTTCACTTTATCACATTTGTTAATACTGTGGACTCTCACTGTTAGGCCATCCTTTTGTGGATTGTAATTGATTTTCTAACTCAGTCCTAACAGAAGCTTTTCCAAACCTCTTCCCTTCTCAGTCCTCCCTCATCCATGGGGGTGGGGCCATGGTCTCTGACTCCCACATCTCCTCACTCCTGCCTTGGCTGTGCTGCTTTGGGGCTCCTCTACCTGACTTCTCCCCCCTTCCTGAGGATGCCCAATGTAGGGCATCTTCTCTGCCCCCTCCCTGCCTTTTTAGCTTCCTTTTGAGTGCTGGCTTTTCCCATCAGATAGTAAGCTCCTTGAGGGCAAGGACTGTCCTTCCATTTTTGTCTTTGAATACCCAGCCCTTAGCACACTATCTGGCTCTTGGTAGGTACTTGATAAATACTTATTGACCATTCACTGTTATAGAGCACCCAAACACTTAGGGGTGGCTAGGTGGCACCATAGTGCACTTAGACATATTTGTATGCATATGTATGTATGTGTATATGTGTGTGTGTGTGTGTGTGTATATATATATATATATATATATATTGTAGACCCCTCCCCAATTCACTTTTAACTCCAACACCTGAGAAAGGCCTAAAACTTGGATTGGCTAATCAGGAGAGACGTTTTGGTCCACTCTGGGCTTCATGTGCCATAATGCTTTGCATGCTGTGCTCTGTGAATGATTTAAGAATGCCCCTTCCTGTGTCAGCCACTACAGGACCAGCTGGAGCTGACCAGCACATTAAGGACAGGATGCCTGGGACCAGACAATGTCTGGAAAAATGGGAGTTTTCTTGTCTTGGTATCTTATGCGTGTACGTAGGGAAAAACAGATATCTTGGGACTGTAATTCCAATGGACACTTTGTTTCTTCTCTTGTATTTACAACCTGTTTTTCCTTTCTCATGCTACATGTTATAAACAGTGGCTATCCATATATATACATATATATGTATATATATATTTATTGACTCAGACATTCTAAGTTGGGATTGCTCTAAGAGTATAAATTGTCTATTTCAAATTGTTTGGTTCAGTCAAAGTTAAAGCTCTGGCTCTATGTCCATGTCACTAACTTAAGGGAATAAACAATGAGTTTACTTATCACCTAGCTTTTTGTCTCTGTAACTAACTTCCAGATTGACAATATACAATATAAACATATATAAATATATATGTGTGTGTGTGTGTGTGTGTGTGTGTGTGTATAAATATCCATCCACTAAATTGTTTTAGCAAGTTTGCAGGCCTTCAATTTAGATCTCTTAGGCTTAGATACATTAAACCAAAAAGTAAAATAAAGAATTAAGGTAAAGAATAAAATTGTAGTAAAGTTAGATGATAGACTCTTGGAGCAATTTGAATGTGAGTAGAATGGAGAATACCTATTACTCAGCTGTGCATGGGACCTTCACAGAAATTGGCCATGTATTAGGGCATAGAAACCTCATCGGACATGCAGAAAAATAAATCTATAAAAATACACTATCTGCTTTTAGTCACAATGCAAATGTTGAGGAATGTTAAGGCTCCCTTGAACTTCTTTGTCTTTTTTTGCAGTTGCCATGTCCCAAGTGACCCCTCCTTGTTTGTACCTGTTAGCCCTCATGTACTGGTGATTCCTGAGATGCTAAAATGCAAGGCCCCTTTGCTGTATAAGGTTTATCCACATTTGTTTTTTATCTCATTACAAAAATTATCAATAAAAGTTGGTTGCATTTTGAATCCCTTGCTGAACTGCAGTGATAAGAACCTCGATGTGTTGCTACCTTGACATGTTTCAGAAACTTCTTTTTAATTCTCTTACTCCTGAGTTTTGCCTGCTTCATCTGACTGAAAGTCTAAAAAAAGAATTGTCTTTTTAACTTTAAGGAGAGTTTACAAGGTCCTTTGGACTTTGCTAAAAAAGTAAATTATTATCATTATTGCTTATTTTATTATTTTTCAATAATTTGATTTTTAATTTATGGAATAAAACAAGCTTTTCCATAACATAGTACAATAAAAAAGATGATTGTAATTGAAACTGCAAATCTACTGCAAATAACACCAGTTGCTATTCCTTTACAAAATACAGTAAAATTATCTTGTAAATTTCTTTTTTTTTTCCTTTTTCTTCTCTTTATCCCCAGCCTAGGAAATGAATACTATTAGACACACACGCGCACACACATATAGGTATATGGCAATGTATGGGTAAAATTATTCTATATGTGATTCTATTTCTCTGGATGCAGATAGTGCCTTTCTTCATATGCCCTTTCTACTTAATTTGGATGTTTAGAATAATCAAAATAACTTATTCTCTTAAAGTTACTCTTAAGACAACATTGCTGGTACTGTATACAGGGTTCTCTTGCTTTCATTCCATTATTTTGTGCAAGACTTTCCATGGTTTTCTAAAATCAATGAGGTCATCATTTCTTATAGCACAGTATTACTCTATCACAATCATATACCACAGTTTGTTCAGCCATTCCCCAGTTGACAGGGATCCCCCGAATTTCCATTTCTTTGCTACTGCAAGGAGAGCTGCTGTATGTATTTTAGGAGATGTAAGTTCTTTTCCATTTTCCCTAATTATCTTGAGAAACAGTCCTAATATGGTATTGCTGGGTCAAAGCATACTAGGACTTTAATAACTCTTTGGCCATAATTCTAAATCTATCTCCAAAATGGTTGTATCAGCTCACAGATCCACCAACAATGAATTTTTCCACATCAGGACCCCACTTTGAATAGGAGCCCCTCCTGGCACTGGCTCCCTGTGTTAGCTCTCCCCTGGGAGATTCTAAGCCTAAGCTCTTCCAGAGGGTCCCAGGAATCCTCCCCAACTCCTAGTTAGACCTCAGCACACAGCCATCCTGCTTTCCCAGGCTCAGTGTGCACCTGGAGCCATTCTGTCTCTCCAGTGTCCCTGACCTCTCTGCCAGGAACTGACTTACAATGTCTCCCTCCCAGCCCCTACCTGTGTTCTCTTTCCCCAGACCTCCTGCTTCCCTGCCCTCTCTTCTTTCAGAATTCTCAGGCTCCCTGCCTGGTGGCTGAATCTCAGATTGGATATTGTCTCCCAGCCTCAGGCTGACCCTGCTCATTCCTGGTGGCTCCAACCCAGAGCCCTCCCCATCCCCAACCTTCCCTCCCTCCCAGGTCAAGCAGTCAGTCTGTTGTCTAGATAATATGTGTGTGTGGTGTGCGTGTTAGTTGGGGAGAGGGGAGACAGGGAGGGCAGAGGACCAACTGGAGGGAGAGCTCAGATTCAGGAGCCACTGAAGCTCTGCCTGGTCTCATCCCATCTGGGATCCCAAGCCCCTTCTGCCTCCTGGGTCTCTGAAAGAGAATGGGAGAGGGAAGGGGGACAGAAGAGAAGGAATAGGAGAGGGTGGGATCATCTCATTTCCAAGCCTTACTCTTCCTGTAGGCTGCCCTCTCTGTCCTGAGGGCAGTGCCTCACCCCTGTAAATCCCTGCAGGCCAGCCTCCTGCCCTGGGATCCTTCTCTCTCCCCAGCTCACTGTGTAGAGGATCAAGGCCTGACTTAGCAGGGAGCCTGTAGCAGAGGGAATGGCCCCTGGGAGCTGCAGACCCCCAGCCCAGGTGAGTGCACTCTGTTCTCAGACTTCACCCATATCAGGCAAGGAGGCCATTTGCAGAAACAAAGAGGATTGTCTTCCAGGCTGGCCATCCCTGCTTATGGATTGTTTCTTTGTAAAAATATGCAGGAAATTGAAAACAGTAGTACTACCTGTTGTGAGAGATGGCCTAAAGTGCAGGTTCCTCAGGTCTAAGCCCTGAGTTGAGTTTCACCTTTCTCAAAAATCCATGTCAGTACAGGCCATTCCTCCTAACTCCTGCTTCCTGGGGAACCCATACATCTAGTTCCCAAATATGGGCATGTTTTCTCCTGTTGGGTATTAGTTGTGGGGTTTAGATTGCACGCCTTGAGTACCCAGCCAATGGGGAAAATAGGTAAGGGAGTGGGAGGGGGCATGGGTTAGGGCTATAAAACGTTGCTTCTCACACCCAGCTGCCCACTCCCTGGCTGTCCCAGCTTGATCAGCCCCAAGGGCTGTGCCCTTTCTCCTGAGAAACAATAAAGACCTTTTTTGATCTCTGATTCAGATTCCAAACCCTTGATTTCAGTGGTCACTGTCCCACACACTGTCGACCATTTCCCAAAGGCTTTGTCCAAAGAAACAAATAGAATCAGGCTGCTTATCTAGTCTCATTAAGCCAGACAGTTCTGTGTGATGGAGTCAGAAAATCATTCTGAACTCTGAGTAAACAAGCTGAAGGAGACCCTTGATACAATAGTACTTCCCTTGTTAGAGAGGATATAGGTAAAGGGCTGAGTTTGGGGAACCATTCAAAGGCCTGGGAGTTTACTTTTCACCTCAGTGTTGTTTTTGGTTTACATTTCTCTTATTAGTTAGTGGTTTGGAGCATTTTTAATTTGTAATTTTTTAAAAATTTTAAATAAATGCAAAATAAAGAAAGAACAAAAGCATTGATATGTGTGCAGCAGAATATGAGAGAGGATTCAAAATATATAGAAATAAATTTCCATTTCAGTAAAGCCTATATGGTAAATACTACTCATTGTGTTCAGAGCTGTCTATCTTTTTTTTTTTTGCTTCCTTACAAGTTCTCTTTTGTTCCGTGCTGTGCACTTTGTGCTTTGTTCTTTTTTTCCTCCTTCTTCCCCAGCTATCCCAGCCCCGCGCCCCCCCCCCCCCCCCGCCTTTGCCTCAGGCTAAAATTAAGTATTTATGTATATGTTTGGATATATAAATTTCCTCCCAACTGCTGCATGAGCTGCATCCCATACATGTTGTTAGTGTGTCTCCTTGTTGTCATTCCCTTTAATTAAATTAGTAATTATTTCTATAAATTTTTTCTGGGATGCATTTATTCTTTAGCATTAGATAAATAGGTTTCCAGTTAATTTTATCTCTCTCTTTTCACTGCCCTTTATTGAATATACTTTATATTGTGTCATGATCTGAATAAGATGCTTTTTATATTTCTACTTCTCTACATTTGATTGTGATGTTTTTATGCTCTAATCCATGGTCAGTTTTTGTGTAAATGCCATGTACTTCTGAGAAAAACATATATTCCCTTCTATTCTCATTCACTTTTCTCCAAAGTATAGCAATCTAACTTTTCTTGATTTCATTTACCTCCTTAACTCTTTCTTCTTTCTTAATTTAATTTTTTTGGATTTATCTTATTCTGAGAGGAGAAGGTTGAGGTTCCCCACTAGTATAGTTTTATTGACTGTTTCCTCCTGTAATTCATTTAAGTTCTCCTTTCAAAACTTAGACCCTATACCATTTGGTGAATATATGTTTAGTACTGATGTCATTTCATTGTGGCACCTTTTAGCCACAATTGGAAGAGATTCAGTTTCCTGGTTTATCTAGCTAAAACTTTTTCTTTTAGCTTCCCAGGAAATAAACTAAATCTTCTCATTTTCTTTCCTGTCTTATCAATAATCACACATAAATCCTCCCAACCATAACAGAATACACTGTACTTCACAGCTTCTCAAAAACTCTTCACAAATCTTTTTTGAAAACGTATTGCTTCTATCAGCTCTGAGAAGGCAGAAAATTCAGATCATCTTCTGTCTCTTCCACAGAACCTCCTACCTCACAGATAAAACACTCACTTTGTCCCAGGTTCCATACGGAGACACATTCCATAGTAAGAGTTTCATCAACTTTATTCCAACTGACACTCCTCAAGGGTAACACCTTTGGGTAACCCCACTTGCCTGTGCCTCAGTTTCCTCCTCTCACGTGATAAGGGTTAGACTACAACAATCATGGAGTCTCTTTCAGCTCTAAATCTTGTGACTCTTGATGGTTTAGGAGCTGCTGACATTCAAGGATGTGTCTGTGGACTTCACCCAGGAGGAGTGGGGCCTCTTAGACCATCCTCAGAAGGAGTTGTACAAGGAGGTCATGCTGGAGAATGCCAAGAACCTGCTCTCCCTGGGTAAGGACACTTCTCCTGGCCACTCTGAGTCTGCAATCCAAGGGAATGTCTTCATTCCTGAGTGGGCTTGGTTCGGAGCATTTAATAATTACTGGAAAGGAACAGTGCTGGTCTTCTCTGTCCAAGAGACAGGGGCCCCCTGCTACCTGGTTTTCCTATAAAAGTTCAGTACACTGTGTGAAGAGAACCTAGAGGTTTCCTTGTTGCTTCTAAAGCTGTCTCTTTCCAGTTCTAGGTAGCCTGAGGTCAAAGATCAGGTCACTGTTGAAACATCTCAGATGTGGAAGTAATTTCATGTTATGTAGCCCAGCCTCTCCCTGGACATGAATTTTCTCTTCCAATTCTCTGGAAACTGCCCAGGCGGGTTTTCCTTGTGACCCCTTCCACTTTGGGATGGCCTTACTGTATGGAAATTCCTTCCTTTTTTTCTTTTTTAGGCAATTGGGGTTAAGTGACTTGCCCATGGTCACACAGCTAGTAAGTGTCTAGTGTTTGGTCTGAGACCAGATTTGAACTCTGGTACTCCTGACTTCAGGGCCGGTGCTGTATCCACTGTGCCACCTACCTGCCCCTGGAACTTCCTTCTTAAGAAGCCTTAATTTATAGCTCACAGCTCCTACATGTGCCTGCTATGACAGGTTTGTCCTGAATCTTCCTTTGCAGTTCCCCAATTCCAGCAGAGATGGTGGGAGAGACAGGAAGGGAATAAGCCTTTGTATTCACCTGCTGCTCACCAGCTGTTGTGCTAAGTGCTTTCTTTACAATATTAGGTCTTTAGGTGATATTGTTATCCCCATTTGACATTTGAGTAAACTGAAACAAAGAGAGGTTAAGTGACTTTTCCAGAGTCACACAGCTAGCAACTGCCTGAGGCTGGATTTAAACCCTGGCATCTCTGACTCTAGACCCAGGGTTCTCTCCACAGGACTTCCAGGTGCCTCTACTTTCCAGTTAATTATAACTATGCAGTGACTCCATCTTTCTAAGAAGGAGGTGTACCAGGACCAAATTTTCTGACTCCTAATTGGCTCCATGATCTTCTCCCCCACCTCTCTCCAAGGCCCTCAAAACGAAATGCTGTGGACACCATGGTTAAGGAGTCTTGGGAACCATCCTGTGCTTCTGGCTTGCAAGCCCCTGTCAATGCCGGGAATAACACACTGGCCAACAATCAGAATTTGGACTAACTAAGGTTCATTGAATTCCCCAGGAGGAGAATCTCACCAGAAGAGGCAAACACTCCCTGAATGAACAGTAACAAGGTGTTTATAGGTTTCAGAGAATGAGGAGCAGGGTAGGGGACAGGACAAAAGTATGTTGTTCAAGGCTGATTGGGCAGATCCTATTTAGGGTTACTTGCATTGCAGGCATTGATGGGAGAACAAGCCAGATATATGTGAATGTGATGGAGTGATTCTGAAAATGCAGTAGCTTTGTATGCACACTCTTTTCCCTAAAGGAAGCTGAATTACTAGTTTTTCTCTACCCTCATCCCTGATTCCCATGCCCAGGGCTGGCAGTTTCCACAGAAGACTTGATATCTTATTTTGAGGAAGAAGAAGCACCATGGCTTCTGGAGCATGAAGGCCTAAGGAGCTGCTATCCAGGTGAGTGGGGTGAAAGCAGGTGGATGAGAGCTGTGATTGCAAGTGGCTTCTAGATGTGGTGGTGAATGAAGTGGTAAATTTGGGGACAGGAAAACCTGACCTGGAATTCTTTTTTAGACACTTTTTAGCAGTGGGATCCTGGACAAGTCAAGGAACCTCTGAGCCTCAGTTTCCCCATATGTAAAATTGGGGAGTTGGACACTTAAAGCTTTCTTCCAGTGATAAATGTGTGATCCTATAAAAACTCATTCCTTAGAATTTGGAGGCAGGGGCTCTTTTGAAAATGCAAAAAGGGGTTAGGCTTTCCAGTTTGAGTTCTTTCTTAGGCTTTCTTCAAGACTATGAGCGTTTATTAAGTGCCAGCTATGTGCCAGACCCTCTGCTAAGATTCCAACATGTAAAGAGACACACGGAACATCCCCTGCTCTCGTGGAGCTCAGAAACTGGGGAGGGAGGGAGTTTGGGGCAGATGACATACCACCAGCTATGTAGAATTCTTCTATGGATACGAGCTCATTGAGTGAGGGATGCTGGAAAGGCTTATTGTGGAAGGTGGTCTCCAGCTGGGGCTTCAGGGAAGCCAGGGTGAGCATTCTAGGCACAGGATCGTGACGACAGCCTGTAAAGTCAGGTGATGGTGTGTCCTGTTCACAGAAGAGAAGGGAGGCCCATGGCACTGGAGTACAGCATGTTTGGTGGCTATATAAGGTGAAAGAAGATTGGCAAAGTAGGAGAGCAGGAGGTAAAGAAGGGGTAGGTGATTAATAGTCCTAGAGTAGATTTTGTATTTGAACCTTTTCCTAGGGGGATATAGCAGGATGTTGAGAACATGGTTACATGGTCAGTCAAAACTTTTGGAAGATGAACTTTGAGAAGTGGGTGGAGGAATGACTAGAGTGGGGGGAGACTTGAGGCAGCTGGGCCAAGCAGCAGCTTCTTGGAATACCTCATGTGTGAAGTGATTGAAGCCTGAATCAAGACAATGCCAGTATTGGGAGAGAAGGGGGTGAATGGGACAGATGTTAGCTAGCTGTAGTCACAGGACTTTGCAGGAGATTGAATATGGGGGTCAGGAGTGTCAATGTTTGAGTCTCATTCGGGAGTGCATGAGAGCTCATTTCTGAGTCAGCACTATTGAGATGATGTTTTGGACAGCCTGAGGCAGGTAGGAAGACTGGAAGGCTGAGGGAAAAAGAATGAGTTTAGTTTGGACACAGTAGCAGAACCAGGAGAGGTGTGTCACTAAAACTCAGAGAGAGAGAGAGAGAGGAAAGGGTGATTGACTGTGTCAAAGGCTGAAGACAAGACAAAAAGGGACCAGGATGAAGAAAGGCCAGTCAAATTAGCAGCATTTGAGAGTTTTGTTAATTTTGGGGAGGAGTTTCCATTGAAGAATGCAACTGGGAGTCAGATGGCAGAGTATTTCAGAGAAAGCAAAAGGAAGGAGTTGGAGACAGCAGTTGTAAATGGTCATGTCCGGCTGGTTAGTCATGACATGGAAGAAAGAAATTAGAAAATAGCTCTTGGATTGAATGAATGAAGTGACTGTATTTTGGGGATTAGAGAGAATAGGTATTATTTGTAGCAATAGGGAAGGAGACATTAGTGTTGGAGAGAGTGAAAAGTAATGAAAAAAGGCAATGCTGGAGAGGCAGTATGCCTGGAAGATGGTGTGATGGAATGGGATGATTGACACATGGAAAGGAGTTTCCTTTAGGAAGCAGAGGGAGGAAGCTTTTGTCTGACACTGGTGTCATAAAGGAAGAAAAAGCACTTGATTTATGGGAGATGAAGATGAGATAGCTCTTGTTAAGTATCCAATTTTTTCAATGAAATATGAGGCAAAAATCCCTACTGAGGACGTGAGTGGTGGCTGTAGAGAATGGGAGCAAGAATTAAGGGAGGCTTGGGGAAAAATGAAAAGACGTGGAAAAGCTGCTGTGCTGAATGAAACGGGGAGTCAGTCATGTGATTGTTCAGTCATTTCAGTTGTTTCTGACTCTTCATGACCCAGTTTGGGGTTTTCTTGGTAAAGATACTGGAGTGGTTTGCCATTTCCTTTTCAGGCTCATTTCGCACATGAGTTAACTGAGGCCACCAGGCCTGAGTGACTTGCCCAGGGCCACATGGCTAGTAAATGTCTGTGGCTGGATTTGAACCCAAGTCTTCCTGACCAGTACTCTATCCACTGTACAATGTACTTGTCCCAAGGGAGTCATTTAGGGAGATGTCAAAGGATGGACTTGCCACAGTGAGGGCCACACTGAGATTATGTAGCCTGAATGTTAAGTGGACCCAGGAAGCCTGGGTCTAACTATCTAAGTACTCACAAAGTAGAATTAACCCAAGACTATGTTTTACATAAAACATCAACCTGTGTCCCTCCCCTGGTCTCTGAGGCTCAATCTTTGCCCAATTCTTGGAGAATCATTGAGTTGACAGTCACTCTCAGTTTATGGTAGTGGCAAGTGGAAACTCCCAAGTGTCCTGTAGTAGAAGATACTCAAGACCCTAGAAAGAAGTCTCTGTGATCTTCACTGTGTATCTGGTCTGGTTCCAACATGGTTAGAACTAGACAAAAAGGCCCCTCAGTATAGCAGATAAAGTGCAGAAAAGAGGCAGAAACAGGCCTGAAACCAGAGCCTGCATTTGCCAACGAAGACAGAGACCAGAATATAAAGCTTGTGGTAGAGTCTCGGGCCTGGTGTCAGCCCTGGGCCCAGTCATCAGTCAGTAAGCATGGATGAAGCTCCTCCAGTTGTCTACACACTTCAGTAATCTGTAGGAGAGGGAAAAGCCAGTCCCTGTTGTCAAGGAGCTGCCAACATGGCCTACAAACATGGAGGTGTCTGAGAAGAAGCAACAGATCAGGAGCCTTGCTCTAAGCTCATTCAGGGAAAAGAGAGTGTTTGGGAATGAAGAGACATGTATTTCAATGGGATATGAGGCACTCAAGGAGTGTGGCTAGTAACAGTTTAAGGAGGAGGGTCAGTTTTGGGAGGAAAGAGTCAAAGTCAAAACAAGAGTGAGAAAAATTTCAGGCACACCTCAGAGAGAGTGTGGGTTCTGTTCTAGAGAAGCACAGTAAAGTGAATACTGCAATCAGTTAAGTCACATGGATTTTTTAGTTTCTCAGTGTATATAACACGTAAGTTATGTTTACTATATACTGTTGTCTATTATATGTGCAGTACTGCTACCTAAACTGTATGTACTGGAGGCAGCTAGGTGGCGCAGTGGATAGAACACCGGCCCTGAAGTCAGGAGGACCTGAGTTCAAATGTAGCCTCAGACCAAACACTTGACACTTACTAGATGTGTGTACCTAGGCGAGTCACTTAACCCTAATTGCCATATAACAATAATAACAATAAAAATGTATATACTGGAACTTAAAAATATTTCATTGCAAATAAAAGCTATCTATCATCTGAACATTCAGTGAATCGTAATCTTGTTAGTGATTGTGGCTCTAGACAGGTGTTGATAGCTGCTCACTGATCAGGGTGGGGGTTGCTCACAGTTTGCAGTGGCTGCAGCAATTTCTTAAAACCAGGCTACAGTGAAGTTTGCCACACTCATTGACTCTTCTTTTCACTTGAACTTGTAGCCCCATTGTAGGGGTATTAATTGGCTTAATGTGAATATTGTTGTGTCTCAGTAAAAGGAAGACCTGAAGAGAGAACAAGTAAACATACAATAATAAAATAGTTTTTCTTAGAAAAAAAAACAAAGGGAAGTGCATAGAGAATGGCCATCTCCTATCATGGACAGAGCATGCCCACCTGCAGGTTTGGTTTTCTACCCTCAGCTGAGCTATGCAGGTCACCTAGCCATTGTGAGGTCATGGCGTGAGTTGTAAATGTCATGTTAAGGCTGGGCCTGCCAGTGTCATAGGGTTTTGTGAGGATCCAGTGTGAGTGTGTGTGAAGCTCTGTGTGAATGAAGCGTCCCTCCGATGTGAACTCATGCAATTTTCAAATGACGGATTCTGTCCATTGAACTTTGCAGACTTTTCTCTTAGACTGAGCAGGTAGGATGTAGATCCTGCTTTCTCTGTGATTTACTTTCTGGGCAGTGGAGGGAAGGCAATATAACTATATATGTGTGTACATGTGTCTTTATGTATGTTTTACTGTTTCTTACAGAAGGAGAGATTAGACCTGAAATGAAAGAGACTACTGCAAAGCTAAGCATTTCTGTGAAAGAAACTCATGAGGAAAGTTTCATGAGGAATGGTCCTTGTGACTTCACCAGGAGACAAATCTGTGCTGCATTTCACAGAATCCACAGAGGAGAAAAACCTTACCATTGTCTTCATGGTTGGAAAGTTTTGAGTCAACAGTCATCCCTTATTTACCAACAAAAAATTAATCCTGGCGTGAAACTACATGAGTGTCATGAATGTGGTAAAACTTTTTCTAAACACTCAGCCTTCATTATACATGGGAGATATCACATTGGCAGGAAACCTTATGAATGTAATCAGTGTGGAAAGGCTTTCACACAGAGCTCCAGCATTATTAACCATGAAAGAGTTCATGCTGGAAAGAAATCTTGTGAATGTAATCAGTGTGGAAAGGCTTTCAGGTGTAAAAGTGAACTTAGTCTACATCAGAGAAAGCACACTGGAGAGAAACCTTATGAATGTAATCAATGTGGAAAGGCTTTCACAGGGAACTCCAGCCTTATTAAACATCAAAGAGTTCACACTGGAGAGAAGCCTTATGAATGTAATCAGTGTGAAAAGGCTTTCAGGTATAAAAGTAAACTTAGTCTACATCAGAGAAAGCACACTGGAGAGAAACCTTATGAATGCAATCAGTGTGGAAAGGCTTTCACACTGAGCTCCAGCCTTATTAACCATCAAAGAGTTCATGTTGGAAAGAAACCTTGTGAATGTAATCAATGTGGAAAGGCTTTCAGGTGTAAAAGTGAACTTAGTCTACATCAGAGAAAGCACACTGGAGAGAAACCTTATGAATGTAATCAATGTGGAAAGGCTTTCACAGGGAACTCCAGCCTTATTAAACATCAAAGAGTTCACACTGGAGAGAAGCCTTATGAATGTAATCAGTGTGGAAAGGCTTTCACAGTGAGGTCCAGCCTTATTAAACATCAAAGAATCCACACTGGAGAGAAACCTTATGAATGTAATCAGTGTGGAAAGACTTTGAGGTGTAAAAGTGAACTTACTCTACATCAGAGAAACCACACTGGAGAGAAACCTTATGAATGTCATCAGTGTGGAAAGGCTTTCACAGTGAGGTCTAGCCTTATTAAACATCAAAGAGTTCACACTGGAGAGAAACCTTATGAATGTAATCAGTGTGGAAAGGCTTTCAGGACTAAAAGTAACCTTAGTCTTCATCAGAGTATCCACGCTAGAGAGAATCCTTATGAATGTAATCAGTGTGGTAAGGCTTTCAGGTGTAAAAGCTATCTTAGTCTACATCAAAGACTCCACACTGGAGAGAAACCTTATGAATGTAATTAGTGTGGAAAGGCTTTCAGATGTAAAAGTGATCTTAGTCTACATCAGAGAGTCCTCACTGGAGAGAAACCATATGATGTGATCAATGTGGAAAAGCTTTCTGACTGCACTGGGAACTTGCTGTATATGAGAAAATCCACACTGGAGAGAAACTTTATGAATTTAATCAGTGTGGAAAGGCTTTCACACAGAGCTCCAACCTTATTAAAATCAGAGAATCCACACTGGAGAGAAACCTTATGAATGTAATTAGTGTGGAAAGGTTTTCAGGTGTAAAAGTGATCTTAGTCTACATCAGAGAATCCATGCTATATACAAACCTTATGAATATAATCAGCATGGAAAGGCTTTCAAATGCAGGACCAATCTTTCTGTATATCAGAGCTGCATGTTTATCTTCTTTATATCAGAATTATATCAGTTTATATCAGAATTACCCTATTGTACTGTCTGAATTCAATCAGTCTATAGGGTCAAACAGAGAAATGGATAAAGTGGTTTTTATGTTGTGAACCCTGATCCCCCATGAACCCCAAATTGAAACACCTTGTTCTAAAAAAGAGATAAAGAAAATTGGTGTATGCATGTCCTCTGGTTAATTTCCCTCAAGCTAGCTTGACATGTTCAATGAAGAACTATGAATAATTTAGTTCTTCTCAGCAATACAATGGTCCAAGAAAACCAGAAAGGATAATCATGAAGCATGCTATCCACCTGCAGAGAAAGAACTGATGTTGTTTTTGTGCAGACTGTAGCATGCTATTTTTCACTTTCTTTCATTCATTATTTTTCTTTTTTTTTCAAATCTTTCTTCACAAAATGATTAACATGGAAATATTCTACATGATTGCACATGTATAACTTACATCTGATTGCTTACTGTCTTAGAGAGGGGGAAGGAAGGAGGGATAGAATTTGGAACTCAAAACTTTAAAAACATTTAAAAAATTTAACGTCACTGGGAGAAAATATATTGTTAAATATGTAGAAAGAAAAACCCCAAAGTGGAGGTTCGACACTGTTCAGCATGGCACCATCTATTGGTGCAAATGTAGAAATTTTGAATCCTCTGAATGAGTTCACTTACTTTGACATTACACTTCTAGTATGTACACAGAGGTGATGAGGTTGTGAAAAGAAATGGCCTTTAAATGAGTTACTGTTTAATTACTTTGTTTTACTTTTAGTTAGATTGTAGCATTAGGTTCCCTTCTTTGGGAAAAGTTAGCCCTCACAGTGAAGCCAGACTAACCTAGATATTCTCTTAAGTCTAGGTTACCTGTAGATTTAGTGAATACACAGATTTGTAAGACTTTATCATTTAGTCATAGATAATTTAGAGTAAGACACATGTTGTTGTAGGACTAAAATAATCATGGGATTGTAACACTTGTCAAAGGCTAAATTCCCCTTTCTGGCTGCTGGAGAAAAGTGGTTAACAATACTCTAAGTTCCTCTTTCCAGTCTTGGTGGATTAGCTCCTTTTAATGTTTTCTTCAGCTGGAGGTTAAGTTTACATTTAGCAGTGTGATTTTCTAAGGTTGGGTTTCCCTTTCTGGCAGCTGGAGGGTGGGGTGTGACTGCTGCCTACAAAAGACAAGTTCTTCTTTTCCAGTCTTTCTTCAAACTATTTGCTCCTTTAAAGTAATACTTTTGGTTGCAAAACTCATCAGCTGCAGAGCAAGGACTTCTGAGGTTTTCTCATTTTGATGGACAGGTTGATAGACACAGGATGAATCTGGATCAAGAAAATCCAGGAGGGATAAGTAGTCAGATGACCAGCCTTCTCCAGTTGAATTTTGTTCAAAACATGTTTCTAAGGTTGTTGTAATTTTCTTCTTTCTCTTCTGTAATAAAAATAAGCTCTGTAAATTACACCTTTGTCAAAAATTACCAAGGAATTAGTTGACTTTACTTAAAGGTAACCTGTAAACTGTTACAATTAGATCATTATTCACTGGCAACTTTTGTACTTCAGATTATTTCATATATAAGACAACTGATTTTAAGAGTTGACCACCTGCTTTGCCAGAGATAGCTCATTGCTTGGGAGGCTGCTAAGACAAATGTGGGAGAGAAGAGGGATTAGACTGCACACCAAACTGAAGACCTACAGAGCTCTCGTGCTGACCTCATTGTTGTACGCCAGTGAAACCTGGACTGTATACTAGTGCCATGCCAGGAAACTGAATATCTGCAGTGTGAATTGTCTTAGGAAGATTCTGAAGATCACCTGGCAATATAAAGTCCTGGGCACTGAGGTCCTTCCCTCAAATTAGACTGCGAAGAATTCACACTCTGCTGCAGAGGGCATATCTCTGATATGCTGGCTGCGTTGTTCAAATGCCAAAACAACTTTTGCCTAAAAGACTATTTTACAGAGATCTCATGCAAAGAAGACACTCACAAGGCGGTCAGAATAAGTGATACATGAACATTCCCAAGATCTCTCTGAAGAACTTTGTAATCAATTGTGAGTCATGGGAGACACTGGCAAAGGTCCAGTCAGCATGGTGTGCCCACATGAAAGAATGTGCTGTGCCATGTGAGCAAAGCACAATGGCAGTAGCTCAAAAGAATGGTGAGATGTGCAAATTCAGAGCCATCTCTACCCCAAATGTTCACATGGAGCATTTGTGCCCAATCTGTGGTGCAGCCTTCTGGGCTTTATTAGTCTGATCATCCATGGTCAGAGACACTGTACCTTGACCCTGACATAGAGATGTCATTTTGGTTCACTTGGAGCAGAATGAACAACACAAATGACCAAGTGTGTAACTAAATATTATAGTGAAGAAATATATGTTATTGACAAATGAAACAATCATAAAGTGAAGGCATAAGATGTTTTGGCCATGACACATTGTACCCACAGCAGCCTCAAGCCCCTTGTAACAACAGATTACTCTTCTTGCCTTGCCTGGAAAGTCTCATAGCCCTTAGTTCAGTACAAACTGTAATTAATATGTCTCTAAAATTCTTTTCATGTTTTATCTAGATAAGACTTTATTTCAGCCTCTCAGGAAATGAACTAGATCTGTTCTTTTTCTTTCATCTCCTGTAATCACACATAAATTCATGAACCCCCACTAAATACACTGTGCTTGCCAGCTTCTTAGAACCTTCCCACAGAATTTTCTTTATAACAAATCACATGTATCAGTTCTGAGAAGACAGAAATTGGAGATCATCTTTTGTCTGTCTCTACCATAGAACCTCCTCCCTCACAGGTAGAATATAAACTTTTGTTCACATTCCATAGGGAGACACACTCCATAGTAAGACATTTCTCAACTACATTCCAACTCACCATATCAAATGTTTTTCTCAGTGTTAAACCTGTTGGGCTCTTGATGAAGATGCTTTCAAGTGTTGACTCTGACAGTCCTCAAGGGTACCACCTTTGTGTAAATCCCCTTCCTGTGCTTCAGTTTCCTTCTCTCATGTGACAAGGGTTAGACTACAGGAATCCTGGAGTCTCAGTTCTAAATCTTTTGACTTTTGATGGTTTAGGAGCTGGTTACATTCCGGGATGTGGCTGTGGACTTCACCTAGGAGAAGTGGGGCCTCTTGGACCATCTTCACAAGGAGTTGTACAAGTAGGTCATGCTGGAGAATGTGCAGAATCTGTTCTCCATGGGTAAGGACAATTCCCCTGGCCACTCTGAGTCCCCAATCCAAGGGAATAACTTCATTCCTCAGTGGGCTGGGTTTGGACCATTTATCAGTTACTAAAGGGGAAAAGTGCTGGTCTCTTGTGTCCAAGAGACAGGGTCCCCTGCTACCTGGTTTTCCTATAAAAGGTCAGTACACTGTGTGAAGAGAGCCTGGAGGTTTCCTGGTTGCTCCTGAAGCTGTCTTGCCAATTTTAGGTAGGTTGAAGTTAAAGATTAGATCAATGCTGAAATCTCTCAGATGTGGAAGTAAAAAACTGGGAAACGGGAAGGAAATTAGAATTAGACCACACTCTTTGAGACATTCTATGTGGATGTTAATGTTGTTCAGTTGTTTCAGTCATGTCTGAGCCTCCATGATCCCATCTGGTATTTTCTTGGCAAAGAAATTATCAGGGAAAACTGCCCTGATGTCTATAGCGAGAAGGTAAAATAGAAATTCAAAGAATCCACCAATCACCTTCTGAAAAAAGATCCCACAATGAAAACTGTCAGAAATATTATAGCCAAATTCCAGAGCTCCCAGGTCAAGGGGAAAAGAATGCAAGCAGCCAGAAAGCAGCAATACAAATCTCATGGAACCACAGACAGGTTAACACAAAATTGAGCAGCTTTTACATTACCAGAAAAAAAAATCAGAGGGTGTGGAATGATATTCAGCAAGACAGATTAAGTAGGATGACAACCAAGTATCACATACCCAGAAAAACTGAGTAAAATCCTTTGGGGACAAAAGTGGACATCCAATAAATGGAGGATGATCAAGCTTTCCTAATGAAGAGAACAGTGCTGAACAAAATCTCTTCAAATACAAGACCCAAGAGAAGCATCAAAAGGTAAACAGGAAAGAGAAAACAGAAGAGATTCCATAAGGTTCAACTGTTTGTATTCCTACATGGGAGATGATTCCTGAAACTCTTAAGACAACAAAGAGATGACATAGCATTTAGAGGAAGTAGCCAAAGCAGTACTTGGGGGAAGTTTTATATATATGTAAACACTTTCATCAATCATATAAAGAAAGAACGGATCAATGAATTGGATATGCAATTAAAAAAAGAACAAATTGAAAACTCCTACTCATTATATACCAAATTGGAAATTCTGAAAATCAAAGAAAAATTAATAGAATTGAAAGTAAGAAACCCACTGAACTTATAAATAAAACTAGCAGCTGCCCTTTCCTCCAATCACACCCTGGGCCAGCAGCTCAAGACCCAGTCTGCCTTTCCTGCCTAAGCCCTGCCCTCACATGGAATGGGTTGGCCACTAAGATGAGCCCTCTCCTGCCCTAGGCTCCTCCCAGGCCTCCAAACTCCATCCCAGGGCTCTTATTTCACCTGGGCCACCACCCACCAGTCTGGTCATTTCTGACAGCTCCTCCTCCCCCATCACTCTACCACCTGATTCCTTATTGAAGGAAAGATTCGGGACTTTAGGAGGTGGGAGGGGGAGAGCAAGGAAGTGGCAACCTGGAGATTTCCAGGCAAGCAAGTGATTCAGGGCAAAACAGTTTATTTTCAAAATGGAGGTAGCTCACAAAATGCTGTCAGCTGGGTTAGCAGGTTTCTCCTGACTTAAATTAGAATGGGGCTTATTTAAAGTCAGATCCCAGGATGATAACTGAGATGTTTGACTCTAAGGGTAGATCCACTGTTAATGTAAAATGCACTTAAAATTTGGCATTGAAGAAGGTGATGTGTGTAGGAGGTGAAAAAAATGAGAATTAAATGTAACTGGATGAAAATTACTCTATTGTACTCTCTGAATAAATCAGTATATAGGGTATATAGGGTCAAAGGGATAAATGGATGAAGCGCCTTTTATATCTAAGATAATTCTAAAATAATCAACTGAACTGATGTTATGTAACTGGCAACTTTGTTTCATGTCTTAAAACTGTAACACTGTTTATGTTATTATTTTTCAAATTTTTCTTATTTGAGGTTATGGAAGAAACTATCATATAAGTTATGCTTTTATTTGAAAAATGATTTCTAGAAGGATATGCAATTGAAACCTTAG